GCCACAAAAATGACCTCTGCTATATTTGATATGGATGCATAACTAGAAAATGTATGGACAGCTCAGAAAAAGTAAGAGTGTGAAAGAAGTAAACCAAATCATTTAATTACTTGAAGACAGTCTAGGGAATATTTTCCTTCACTTGCTTGAGTAAGCACTTAGGTAAGGAACACACAGACAATAGTTTGCATGGAACTTGAGGACCTCAGAATACATGCGAAAGGACTGTATATGGCCCCTGGTCACAGGTAGTAGAGATCTATACATGACCTGGATAAACGAGAACCTTCCTAGATGTGATATTTTGCTTCTAGTGTTTAAGTGACAATGACAATTTACTTATGGACAACATCCAATATGTAGCATTCCTGAATAAAGAACAGCTGAGGTCATGTATGAGTTTATTTCTGTAGCTGTTTATACAATTGCGTGTGATACTTGAGTTAGCTAAAGCATGACTGTCCATATTTAAAATGCTGTCTTGTTAGCTGCCTCAAAGCAAACTTCTGGCTTTAAAGTCAGATTGCTTCTCTAATCACCCCCACTAAGCTAAATAAATATGATGCATAAAATATAAATTCTTTTACATTTATTAACAAGTGCTTTTATATTAAATAATGTCACATTTTGGTTATAATGGATCTTCTCAACCCACTAGTTGCATTTTTACAGTTATCTTTTGCGGCTCTATGGAGAGAAAGGCATGTCCTATTTACAGTGCACCTGACAGAATCTCCCTTCATACGGTTTTGTGATGAGCAATTTTAGCTGTGCATTAGTTTTCTTAGCTGCCTGCCTACTAGAAGGAGTAGGAGCACTTGCATAGTTTCTGGATTTAGTCATGGTATTGCAAAGTGGGATCCATAACAAAAGGCTCAATAGCCACTATGGCTGGAAATACAAGAAGAGAGATGAGACAATCCAACCACTTCTACCTCGAGTTATATGCCTTTTACATCCTCACCGCTTACAACAGTTAGAACGGTAAGGATGTGGAGCTCCCTTCCATAAATGGTGGTGTCAGCAGGGAGTGTAGATAAAGTCAAAACACGTTTAAATTTGTTTCTTAAGGAACACAATGTACAGCTATATGGAAAATAGTAGTGACACACACACACACACACACACACACGCGCACACACACACACACACACACACACACACACACACACACTGAGCAGGATGGACTCCTGTCTTTATCCAACCTTACCAACTATGTAAGACTATCTAAAGTCTTTAAGATATTTAACACTCATCTGTTTCAGTATACATTTTCTTTTAGTATGTGGTATGAAATATATCATTGCCGGGAGCGTTTATAACTTCATCTTAGTATTTTAGGGTTTGGTTTCCCAATGATGAAGAAGAACAACAGTTGATACCCTTTCTATTTATGTGGAGTGATGTTGCAGCTGTGTACTGAAACCATGACCCTCCTATGGCAGGGGGATAGGGATTAAGGGTGGGGTTCATCATAGACTGGCAACCAGCAAATTTATAAATGTCAGGCAACATTGTATGTGTGTTTTGGAGTCTGTCTCCGCTTTCTTTGATCTTAATTCATTTACTTGTAAGAGGAGCTGGCCTATGTAGTGAAAGTGTCAGAAGACCCAGCATTTTCAAACACAAGGCTGAGATACTTTACTTAGGTTGAGTTCCCCTACAAGCCCAACTGCACTACTTAATGTCAGCAATGCAGAGACATGCATGCACTAGTGGACCCCTTATGTACTAGGTGTTCTTACATCAAGGACAAATACTAAAACAAGCATTTCTCCAGTTCTTATTTGCTGTTGCACTCATGAACTCATCCATCACATTCTTAGACAGCAGTATAGGTCTTTCCCCTACTGTGACTGGCATCAGCAGCTGAACACTGAGTAACCAACTGTAAGTAGCTACATAGAGGTGAAGTTCTAAAAGTAATCCAATGGATTGTATTTTAAAAAACATCACACTAACTGTCTCTCCACCCCCACAAAACCCAAACACTTACCTGACTGCTCTCACCACTTCAGCTCTGTCCTAGCTGCACCGCCATGCTCCTCCCTTACTGGTCTCACAGGACCCACTGAGAGCAGTGGGAGCTATAGGCACCTGCTGCTGTCAGTCAAACTCCTGTGAGGAGGGGGCAGGGGCATAAATTACCGACGCTGTGTGTGTGTCTATGGACATACCAAGCCTAGCTTGGGAGCATACCTGCATAAATGCCCTCGAGCGAATGCAAAACCCACTTGATGCAGGTCAAATGCGCCTGTCAATGAATTCTGAAAGTTCTCAGAATTGTAATGCACAATGCGCTTTCTTTAAGATCTTATAACAATACTCATTTGGGTTGCGAAAAAGGAAATAAAATGCCTATCATTTTGATACATACCTGTCCCATGCATAATGATATCTTTCCTCTAGTGCAGTGGTCTCCAAACTGTGGCCCTTTGCTTGCCTTTATCTTGCCCTTAGGGCACTATTCCTTCCACTGACACCAAAGATGGGGCACTATTGCTTTTGCTGACACCAATGATGGGGCACTATTCCTTTCAATGACACCAATGATAGGGCATGATTCCTCCTATTGATATAAACAATTAGGCACTATTACCCCCACTGATATCAATGACGAGGCACTATTTCCCCCACAGATACCAATGATGGGACCCAACCCCCCCACCACAGATACTAATGATGGAGCACTATTCCCCCCACAAATACTAATGATGGGGAACTATTCCCCCTTAGATACCAATGATGGGGCACTATACCCCCCCACAGATACTAATGATGGGGCACTATTCCCCGCACCCATACTGATGATGGGGCACTATTCCCCCCATTGATACCAACGATTGGACACTACTCCTCCCACTAATACCAATGATTGGACACTACTCCTCCCACTAATACCAATGATTGGACACTATTCCTCCCCTTAATGCCAATGATTGGACACTATTCTTCCAACTGATAGCAATGATAGGGCACTATTCCTCCTCCTACAGACTAGAAGGCCCTATGTCATTTTTTTACTGCCACTGACCACCAAGCCTGAGGCACTGTTTACTCCCACTGATGCTGGGGCATTTTCTACTCCCACTGGCCACAGTCTGGCCCTCCTTAAATCTGAAGGACAATAAACTGGACCTTTTTTTAGAAAGTTTGGAGACCGCTGTTCTAGTAAATAGATTCTTTGGTCAACCAACTTACAAAACAACTAAGCATAAAGTAGGATTTCTTTACATAAACCATGTCTAACAGTATTATGTGGCTTTATCCTCACATCATCACAGTCTTATCTTCTTACTCTTCTTTTTTCCTAAACTCAGCTGTGTGAAGTCTCTAATATGTCAACAGCAGGACAGTTTTTACTGCTCACAGCAGTCAATTAGACATTTCCTTTCATTGAAAAAAAAGGAGATTCTGACAGTTTTCATGCACTCTTCTCAACACTCTTCTCTTATACATTGTGTTTTTTCAAACAAAACACCACTGTAATATTCACTCACCGGCCACTTTATTAGGTACACCTTGCTAGTTCCGGGTTGGACCCCCTTTGCCTTCAGAACTACCTTAATCCTTCATGGCATAGATTTAACAAGGTGTTGGAAACATTCCTTTAGAGATTTTGGTCCATATTGACATGAGTTACTATTGCCTTTCTATCATCTCAAACCAGTCTGCTCATTCTCCTCTGACCTCTGACACAAACAAGGCATTTTCATCCACACAACTGCAGCTTACTGGATATTTTCTCTTTTTCGGATCATTCTCTTTAACCTTAGAGAAGGTTATGAATGAGAATCCCAGTACATCAGCAGTTTTTGAAATACTCAAACCAGCCCGTCTGGCACCAACAACCATGCCACGTTGAAAGCCACTTAAATCCCCTTTCCTCCCCATTCGGATTTTCGGTTTGAACTTCAACAAGTGGTCTTCACCATGTCTACATGCCTAAAATGCATTAAGTTGCTACCATGTGATTGGCTGATTAGCAACTTGTGTTATCAAGCAATTAAACAGGTGTATCTAATAAAGTGGGCGGTGAGTGTATGTCCATCATGGGACAGTTTACTTCTTAAGGTCTCCTTTACACGGACAATTACTTGCATACAGGGATTCTTGTGGCTGGAATCACCAGTGTATGAACATCTGTGGTTGCTCATCCTGTACAAAGCAATGACAGGATGAGAGGAGACGTAGCTGTTTGCACCCAGTGGTTACTTGTGGAACAGATGTCTGCACCCAGGGTTGTTCATCCGTCCCTAACTGCAGGCAACTGTTTGGTGTGTGGCCTCTCAGCCTGTCATTGCTTTGTACAGGCTGAGAAAATACAGCTGTTTGCAAACACCTGTGATCCCAGCCACAAGAATCCATGATTCTTGCTGCTGAAATCTGCTGAATCTAGCTAACTGCTGTAAAGGAGACCTTAAAGTGTTCCTAAACTAAAGAAAAAAATGCTGCCATACTCTTCCCTTTATGTATGTTTCAGTTGTGTCAATCTATCTCTACACCTTTACACTGCTTCATGCTGATAACATCTACATTAAATCCAGTGTTGCTTGAGCGGATATGGAACAGCAGCCCTATACACATGACTTTAGCCTTTCATTTTTTTTTATATTACCCATATTGTTTATTTGCATTATGAGGAGCCAAATCATTATTTCAATGACCTGTAAATTCCAACCTAAAAGTCAATACATGCTACAAACCATATATAACCTACTTTTGTCTTTTAATCATTAGGTGTTAATCTTCCCTCCTGCCAAACAAAATTTTCAATATTTTCTCAGTAATAATCCCTTGCTTAATAGCGCATACACCCTAGGAATTTATTGAGCAGGGAATCAGGATGTTCAACTCGCAGCAATACCCTGGTGGTCGCTGGGATAGGAAGTGAGGAGAAATCTCCCCAGCATGGACACAGAAAACAATAAATACCCAACAGAGAATCTAACCTTTCTCCAGTCTTTCCAAAACTAACAAGTTTGGGCTGGAGTTCCACTTTAAGTACAGCATGTCAGAAGTGATTCCGTAGACAGATTGGAGGCTGAAAAAAACATAAAAAGAACTTCAGCACCTAGAGTATAGTGCAAAGAAAACTGAATATCTGAAGTATAAAGCTCCTTTCTTCTTCAGTCTCTAAATGTATTCAAATGCCCTGCGTGCCTTCCTCAAAAGCCTCCCATTTACACAACAGACATGTACAGTATATGGGAAAAAAAAAGCTGTTTCTATCAGAGCGGTTTGGTGGAATGGTGAAAATGAGTGCAAACTGTACACAACACTCACTTCTATGTCCCTCATCTACTGATTGGGTAGGTTGTAGCCATCTAATAAGTAATATGTGTGTGTGTGCGGTTGTGTGTGTGTGTGGGGGGAGGGGATGGTTGCACTCCCTTTTTATACAAATATTTCCCAAGTACCCCCAAAAAATAACTGGGGCTGGACTGGAAATGGAATAGAAACTCTATCCATACATGGGTTGAACATCTCACAGTAGCATTATCTTTTACTTGTATTACATAAATGGAACATTATTTGACAGATCTATGTCATTTGTTTATGTTGGACTTTGTTTAATGCATCATGACAGGGGGTATACTTGCCGTTCCAGCAAGAACTATGCTAGTCAAAAAGCTTTAAATTTGTTTTACCTTGCTCTACTGGGCTAGGGCACAATGTAGCAGTGTGTGTGTTCAATGAAAACAGGTAGCAGGAGACAAGCATTTTTTTTTTTAGATTTACGGACAGTGATCACCAGCCAAAATGGTTTACTGTGACTTTGTCACAGCAAGGATACTGTGCTTGAGAATGTTCACACTCCAAGGTACAAGTGTGCAAACATGGGTAGATATTACCATGTTAATTTAGAGATATCAATCTTTATTGTGAGGTCCACCCTCACAATGTATAGCTATTATTATTACAAGGGGTTAAAAAGAGTGCAAATAACAGAAATGTGCTAGAACTCATATCAATCCAGTGTCAGTTTTCGTCATAAAGAACTGGTTGTTTTAGCCTTCTGATCAATGTGCCACATACTATATTTCCATATAAAGCCCTTTCAGGCTTATTTAATCAGACAGTGCAATGAATATGTACAAAGGACAGAAATCCATACCAACTAAGCAGATATCAGGTTACTGTAGTGAGATAAGGAAAAAATTTAAACCGATTGGTTGCCATCATTTACAGCCCTTTGCACATACAGATTGCATTAGCCCTTTGCACTACCTTATTAAAATATGCCTGTCTCTGTGTATAAAAGAAAAATATACACGCCAGAAAAATGCTTTGTATATAGCAGCAACTGGTGAAGCTGTTTGTTTACAGTTTTTGTTGGAATGGTCATTAACCATCCAGCTCCTATGAAAAACCATAAAAAAAAAACAAACATACATACTAGAGGGGGTAATGTAGAAAAAACTTGTGAAGTAAGGGTCTGTAAAGCTCACAGCAACCAAGTGTTCTGTAATGCTCATAGCAACCAGATCCCAGCAGTCATATACCTAACAAATCTTAACGAAAGAAGGAAACTGGCTGGGTTCTATGGGCCATACAGGCTCAAACACAAGGAGTCAAAGGTGGCTACATGGCATTGCTTAGCTTCTCTGTAAACTCCATCAACAGATGTTTATAGAAGCCAAATGTTTAAATCCATCAATTCAAGCATGACTGCATCAAGTAAGCACTGAAGGAATCTCTCTTCCCCCAGTGCTATGGCCATCAGTACATAACTGGATTTCTGCATGTTAGAGGGACTTTATCATATTGATGGTCTCTTTGAAAGGAATGAAGTGGTGGAGTGGGAAAATTACCAGAGACACAGACTGACTTATCCATGGTGAACTGTTGTAATGATTTTTTTTAACCCCCTACTCGGCCAGCCTGGCTTATGAAAAGACAATGCCAAAGAGGATGTCATTTACAATACCCCAGACGCCATCTCCACTCCTTAGCCAATGCTGAAAAAGGTCCTAGAGTATATTGCAATTTTCCTGGCCAGGACGACAGAGTGGAAAACTTCAGCACAGAAATAATCATCATTATATACCTTGGAAAGCTCACTGTTGAGGGCTCAGATATGTATTGGATATATTCTGTTACTGTATACACCATGAAATCATTGGGATGTGAAGACCCAGACCCAGCATGTGTATGATACTCATCGTCATCACCATGGTACAGCGCAGTGTTTCGCAAAAACAAATTCCACTTATCAAAAAGCTTGAGATGTATATGGATACCCAGTAACAATACACAGCTCAGATTGTTCATGATCCAGTAAGGCTGGAACTGTATAATGATACTAAGCATCAAGATACAACGCAGCACCTTTTTGTCTCAAGGTGACACCGTTGTACGGAGCATATTGCACCAGTGTAGCTAAATAAGGTGGCATCTCAGCATCTGGAGAATCCTCCTTTTCCTGGACTCCAAGAGATTCTGGGAAAGTAATTCCCCTGACAATAACGCACCTCTGACAGCACTGTTATGCTCTTTTCTAAAAGAGGAATGGAGGCAGCTGAAGGACAAATGTGGCTCACTGTTTATGCACCCTTCCCTGGCCCTCTTCAGTCTCTTCCACAGGCATGTCTTCTGAAACTCCATTAAGTTGAGACTTTCCAGGAATTGTTCCATCTGAAGAGGCAGTCACAGCTGTTGCCCCACGAGGTTGTATTGAGATAGGTGCTGCTATACCATTGCCACCCATTTGCCCTTGCCCTTCCCCTTTTCCAAAGTTAAACAACTTTCCAGGATGAAAAGGCTTGGTTGGAGAGTGGGCTCTTTCTGGCTGCGCTTCTCTCCGTGTCTCAGGGGATTTCAAGAACTTGAAACTCAGGAAGCTGGGAATTTTGGTATCTCCCCCTGGAGGAGATTGTGGAGATTTGGCATTGGTCCCCGACAAGAATTTGCTCTGCAGGGGTATAATTTGCTTGAGTTTCAGCACATTATTGCTGGCCAGCAGGGAGCTTGGCCTTTTCGGTTTATCATGAGTACTGCCCCCTTGGGGACCACATGGCTTACTTTTACTTGAGTTTTTGTCATGTGTTTGAGAGTCCTGTCCAGATCTTCCTTCCTCCCCACCCCTCGATTCTCGCTCCTTTCGTGCATGGTAATCTGCATGGCGCTGTCTCTCTTCCTCTTCCCGCTTTCTGCGTTGTTGTTGTTGGTAACGATGTTGAGCCTGGCGCTCATGTTTCTGTAAAATTGAAATGAGATTTTTAAGAAAAAAAAAAAAAAAAGTTACACTCCAGTGTATCTGTACTTTATTTATTTTTTCCCCAATAGTAAATATTATACAGAACAGTAGCATCACAGAAGTTAATTAGCTCTAAATGGTATGACCACACATGTTGACGAGACAAGTTTTCCGAAGAGTGCAAATGACCGTATCTGAATGGTTACATGTTATACTTCTGAAAATTTTATTTTTTTTTAGTTTGTAAATGTTTGAAGGCAAGCTCACTATTTTGTGATGTCAGAATCAGGTAAAATGTGATTTTATCTGCTATCTATGTTGTGATCTATTGCCAAAGACCATCTAAATAACCTTATCAGCATCACTGGTATAAAATTATGTGCATGAATATTAATTTGTATTGGTTACTTTAAACACGGTAACATTAGCCAAATGCCTTATCAGCAAAGGGCGATTAGAAGAGAATTACATATGGCTTCTCCCTGGCCTTAAAATATCATGTTTCCCATACATCATTCTAACAGTAGGACAGTAATACTTTATTAGATTTTAGCAAGCAACAACCCTAAATCCTTTCTTTAACAATTCAAGATTAAAAGATAAAACCAAAACTTTTATATATTGTAGAAGTATCTGAAGATATAATATGTACCTTGAATGCTTCCCTCCTCTGATAATCCAGCTTTGCCATCTCTTCTGCTACCCATCCTGGAATATCTGGAATCACCACATGTATTATGTACTTCATGAGCAGTGCAAAGTGCTGTGATGTGGAAAAGATAAAAATATCATAAGCAGTTTATTAACTATTACATAATAATTTTTAATAAAAACGCAATCATGTTAAAATCTACTTGGAAGTGATGCAAAGCACATATGCACAGGATGAAAAAAAAAATTCATAAAAGGTGTACAATAAACCTGATGACACGATCAATGGTGAGGTACCAACTGTGTAGGTTATACATGCTGGATCCCAACGGGTTTGGTCTTCTATTAAGAGGTATATATAATCCACATATTGGAGTGTATGAAGTGTGATGAGGCAACTCTAAAATCAAGAAACCACTGGCTAGCGTTTCAGACTAACACATAGTATAAAAGGACAAGGACCATTAATCCAGTTTTAAGTATCAATTAATTATTAATTAGAATGTCCAAAAATAAAACCATCACTTTTGTTCTGTAAGGAAGAGTATACTGAGATTCTAGTATTTTAGAACACCACATTTAAAAGGGTTACTCTAGCACCTGCTTTGACAGCCATAAGCTGCAGCAATTGTAGCACATTTAAAAACATTACTGAAGTGTATATCACATCTAGCAATAAACAATTAAAATAAAAACTTCAACATGTTGATTTTCTATATACTTTTTATATACCAATATAAGAGCACAGCACAGCACTCTTTAGATGCTCTTTTATTCTTTATTTTACTACAAAATGGTGCATCAAAAAGCATATGAAGACAGTTTCAAGCATCCCCACCCTTCATCAAGCTGATTGTAATTTACAAAGCAACAAGGGGATTCAAATATTCAAAAGGAAAGTATTTAGACACAGGTAACGAGTCCTATGCTTTCAAGATCATATCATAATGTTGAGCATCCTGGTCTTTTTTTTTTCCCAGATAGTTTCACTTATGTGGTGGACTGACAGGTGTAATGATTGCTAATGGAATATATCACACCTATTTGGAGGTAAAAATACATTTTTCCCTTTTCAGCATCAGAGTGCAGTTTACGGCAGAAACATAGGTATGAACATTTATGTTTAAAAATGTAGTAGCTGGTTCAGGGGCCTTAATCTCAGACCCGTGGAAAACCAAGAAGACATACTGTAAAGTCAGCCATAGATAGATTGAATCTTGTCCAGTTCAGCAGGGACCAGCCACAATTCGATCCATCTATGGGCAGGCTGTTTGTATTTAAGTTTGACTACAGTACAACCAGCCTGTCAGATTTTCTGCATACAATTAATGCTGGCGGCTAGAGCCGCTAGCAGTGATCATTGTATTCTGTCAGCAGGGAAGGGTCCTTGCCGGAAGAACACGATAGTGTTGCGAGAGTGATTCCCCAATCAACACTGACTGTGTTGATGGGGAAATCAAGCATAATTTATGGCTTTCCTAAGTTCAGGAATATCAGGATAAGCCCCAGCAAGAACGTGGTGAAGTTTTTTATTGATGGAAAATACTTTTCTACTATGAGGATGAAATGGTTATGAAAATGAGATTCTCTTCAGTCAGATCCTCTATTGAAGGAGTGCTGCACCCTGTTTATGGCAAAACAATGGTTTGAATGAATAAATGGCAGTCCAATTAACACTTTGTTGGGAGCTCTTGCACTTGCTCATGGCTTTGCTTCCATTGACAGAGTCTTGCCTCTCCTGCTGCAGTCTACTTATTATACATGAAGCGAAATATCCAACAAAGAAAGCGTAACCCACTTGTAATCCCTGGGAATGCACACATAACATTTTATGGGTCTGCCTATAAAATCATACAGCTTTCACCCAAGATTCCTTTGGAAAAATGGATGAATCTCCTGGCACAGTTCATGGCTCAATATAGGGAAGAAAAATCAGGCAGCCAAGTTTTTTTTTCACTTAACACAGCTCTGTTGCAAAAATGTGCATTAACTAGTTTTAATTTTTCTGAGGGGAAAAACAATTGCATAAGGAACTGCTATGCAGTCGGTGGGAGTGAGTCCTAATTCTATTCACATACCAAGAAAAGCAGTGTTCATGATTATATAGATGAAAGAGTGATCGCTTGACTAGCTATAATGTTTATTAGGTACTATGAGACACATGAAGTCATGTCCTGCTGGGTTATATTGCCACCTACTAGAGGACTTTGGCAAACAAAAAAAAAAAAAATTGCAGGCCAGCCAACAAAGCACCACTTTTACCCGGCATGCCTCAATTTGATTCATATAGTAATAAACACAGAGGGGTGGGACCCTCAATGAAGGCCACAAAAATGTTATTCTTTCTCATCCATTGAAGGACACAAAAAGCCATATGCTGTTAGGATATACAAAAGCAGTCCAACAGAACTGGACACTGCCTGCAGCCTGAAGGACCAACATCCGAATCTGACACCAAATGGTGCCTGATAGGGAAACCTGCTAACATGACAAGAGGGAGGACATGGGGGATTACCCTGGTGTCCAAGACCAAGCAAAGAATAGTCACCAACCAAACAGGAATGACGCCACACAGAAGGGGGCACCAAACCATGGACCAAGCAAGGAGCTGGTCAACCTAAACCCACCAAAAACATGAATACAAAGTAGGGAAAAGTGACAGAAGGGCTTTCTAAAAGAGTCTGAATCATCCAGGGAAGAGGGGATTAACCCCATTCAGAAAGTTCCCACAAAGTGATAAAGGCTGTCCTGGTACCTGTCAGAAAATATCTGCAGCAGATTATGTTATTCTGCTCCAGACAGCCCAAGGTGTCACAGAGCCCTCCTCTGATGTTCTTAATCTGGAAGGTAGAGCCCGAGATGCACCTTGGTACGTGAACCTCTCCATGTCCAGAAGCTACCAATTTGGAAGAACTTTTGTCCAAAGGATCTCCCTAAATGAGATAAACACAGGGAGACCTGCCCAAAGAGGGATCTCACAATATTGAAGGAACCATCTATTCCTAGAAATCCAAAAAAGTAGCCAGAGACAATATTATTTCAATGAAAGTGAACAGGCCAGCATTTACCTGGCCTGTTCACAAAGATCAGGCATTCACAAAGATCTTATGTGAAGGGACCGAGGCTGGCACAAAGATCTTATGTGAAGGGACCATGGCAGACACTGGTGCCAACAACCTAAGAAGCAGAATGGGGGGGTTAGGACCTGCTGGGTCAGAAAATTAAGCAGACCCTGAGGGTTCCTATGAAGAGGAATGATGATGGGTACCAGGTATTGGTCCTACATGCCCCAAGGCTAGAGAATTGGCCTGAGGGAGAAAGCAGTGGCCAGAGTGGGTCACAGCTCCTGAGGCAATGCTGACAGAGAAGTTACAGGAAAATGGTTAAGGAGACCCCCAAGTGATCAAAAAAGGTCTGTCAATTTGTGCGGTGATGCAGGGAGATATAAACAGAACAGCTGAAAAAGTGCATTCAACCCCCAAGTGTGGGCACACCTTTATGCTGAAGGCTTCTCTAAAGGCTTAGCAGGTTTCTTGCGTCCAGCCTTGCGAGCACCCTAAGAACCAAAGTTAGATCTAGGTGTGCCTACAGAGTAGGTGAGGAGAGAGAAGGATGGGATTCAAACTTCTTATTCTGAGGTAGGTGAATGCTCTGACCTATTGTAAAATCCTTGATGATGGTGATATTAAGGGTAGGTTCAAAGAGATGGTATGCCTTGACGACCAAGTAAATCAGGTAGTGCTTTGACATAGCATCTGCTGTACAACACCCTATACTGAGTGACCATACAGGACATTTGCTTCTAGCAAGCCATCACAACTGAAGACTAAAGCTGGCCATATACTGAATTAAAGCAGAACTAAAGTTCATCTGTAAGAATCAGTGAGCAGGCAGGCTTTTATTGCAGAAGAGACAAGCATGGTCTCTTCTACAATTAAATACCCTACCTGCATGCTTGCTGTCTTCTCCTGTGCTGTAAACGGAGCACATGCACAGCTCAGCTTGCAGTGCCAGGCCAGTCTCTGAGAAGCAGGATGACTAGCTTCTGTGCATGCACAGGAGTGACATCATGCCCTACCAGCCAATGAAAAGGCCTGAAGACCAGCAGTCAGAAGATGTCAGCACCAGCAAGGAAACATTGGACAAGTAAGTACTCCCTCTTTAGTAGTGCTAGCCAGTTCCTAATGAACTGGCTGAAATTCAACAGTTAGTGGCCCTGACGGCACCTTTCCGTCCCACATACATCAACTGAAAATCCATTTACATACAGGCATTGCATTAGCCACAGTGGGAATTTCATCCAGTTGGTTAGATCATGGATGGCCAACTCAAGACTTCAGACATCTGCCTCATCCACACTAGCAAGAAGGGGTCCACTGCAGAAGAGGAGATATCTCTTTTGATGGAATTTAACCCATTCTGTCACAGTCTGACAGATTAAGGTCACAGTTAGGACAGGGCAGAAGAGCAGAGTCTACCAATAAAAACTGAGTGTTAAAGAGGGAGTCCAGATTTTGGTCAATAGAAAATTTACGGTAAGAACATCCTCTTCTGGAATAGTGGTTTCTTTCCAAAGGAAACATGTCCAACAAACACTCAGGTGGGGTCCAGGACCCATCAGGTCACTTCCAGTCCACATAGAGCAGTGGTTCTCAACCTTCCTAATGCCGTGACCCTTTAATACAGTTCCTCATGTTGTGGTGACCCCCAACTATAAAATTATTTACCCAGTAATTATAATTCATGAGTGTCGTTTTACCTCCAATACTGCTGCTTTCAACACAGTAGCTGCTTTTAAAAGAGTAGCTGCTTTCAACCCAGCAGCTTCTTTCTACACAGTAGCTGCTCTTTACACATCGGAAATATGTGTTTTCTGATGGTCTTAGGGGACCCCTGTGAAAGGGTCGTTCGACCCCTAAAGGGGTCGCGACCCACAGGTTGAGAACCACTGACATAGAGGAATATCTTGAACAGTGTGAGTGTGGTAAAAAAGTCTTTTCAGCTTGAGAGGCTCTAAAACACCAAGAGTATGGAGACAAAATGCGATTCCTCCAGATGCAGAGTAGTATGTAATGCTTCAAATGAGGCACAAACGGTCTATTGTATTTCTGA